AGCTTACCTTCGCAGCAAAGACCTATGGGAAATTTGCGCTGGCGAGGTAACTCCAGCTAAAAAGAAACGAAACGAAACTCTTAACGCCATTATCAGTCATCTTAGCGAAGAAGCACTTGACGCTACTGTCACTCCTGAAAACGAAGAAAATCCTGCTCTTCTTTGGGCTTCTATCGTTGAGCGCTATGCTTCATCGTCAGTCAATAACAAAGCTCGTGTATGGTTAAAATGGATGCGTTACGAATTTAACGGCAATCTTAACAATTATCTTGCCGATTGTCAAAAAATGATTCGAGAATGCGCACTTGTTCAACTTGGCATTCCCGACGACATAATTTCGATTTCTATCTTGGCAAAACTTTCCAAAGATTACTGGAACGTCGTCGATAACATAATTATGAACGAAGCTATAATCTTTTTTCCTAGCCGCACTCTCAAGAAGTTAAGAGAACTCGTTTATATGAAAGATACTCGGGTATCAGGTGCTTCGAAGGTTGAATCTACCTCTAAAAATCAAGCTATCGGTCCTTCCGCTTACAAATCTGAGGCTGAAGTCAAAACTAAAAAATCAGATAAGACGAAACAACCGCCGGCTCACCCGTGTTCTCCGGGTAAACACAATCCTCTGGCGTTTCATCCGATTTGGCGTTGTTTTAAATTACCCATCGAGGAACGCGAAGCTCTTCGTCCTAAAGATCCTGAAGCCCACACAACTTCAGTCGACAGCGTGAATAAGGAAGGAGAAGACGAGGAGGAAGTCGTCGAAGTCTCAGCCTACCTTAATTCTTCAGCAGAGAAAAAAGCTCCCATCCTCGATTCCGGTGCCTCTCACCATATGGTGAATGATCTTTCGATTTTCTCAAAAATGAAAGATGTCAACATTAATATTCACACCGGCAGTAATCAAAAAGTCTCCGCGATTGCAACGGGAAAAGCTTACATTTCCGATGACTCTGGTTCGATTATCAAGCTTGACAACGTCCTTTACGCACCTGACCTTCACAGGCCTCTTGTTTCTCTCAACCGGCTTTTTGACGAAAACGCTTCGCTATCAAAGTCTTATGATTCTTTCAAAATTAAATTCGACAATAACTTTAGTCTGTCGGGTATCATTCGTAATAATTTGTTAGAAATTAACAATGAATTTGCAATGCAAGACGAATTTTCCTTGTACTACGCCTCGACTTCATCAAAAACTTTGATTGATTGGCATGCTAGACTGGGACATCCTAGCCATCCTTACCTCAAGAGATTGGTTGAAAACGCTGTACCGGTCGATTGTACGACTTGCAAACTGTGCAAAGCGGTAAAGCTGCCCTTCAAAGGAAAATTCGCACCTACTTCCCAAGTGCTTGAAGCTATTCATCTTGATTTAGTTGGACCTTTCCAAACTCGATCGGTTGGAGGAGCTCAATACTTCCTAACGATAGTCGACCAATTCTCAGGTTTCAAAATGATTAAATTATTGAAACATAAATCAGAAACTCTTAATAAATTCGATGAATTTGTTTGTTGGGCTGAGAACCAAACTGGTCATACGATCAAGCGGATTATTTCTGATAATGGAGGAGAATTCAGGAACATGTTCTTTGAAGATTTTTGTTGAAATCGAGGCATATCACATCAATTCTCTCCACCCTATACTCCAGAAAATAATGGGATGGCTGAGAGATCGAATCGAGCTATTCTCGACAAAGCTAGATGTCTATTCGCTCAAGCAAACCTTTCTCCGCGTTACTGGGCTGAAGCTGTTGTTACAGCAACGGACCTATGTAATCTTCTTCCGTCAAGTTCTAGAGATTATAAAATTCCTTATAAGACTTTCTTTGGGAAGGATTTCAATTGCTCAAAACTGCGATGCTTTGGGTGCATGGCGTATATCCTTATTCCTGAAGAAACACGTTCGAACAAATTATTACCTCGTTCAGAAAAAGCAATTTTTCTTGGTTATAGCGATGATTTTTCGACATACCGTTTCATAAGGATTGAGTCAAAAACTCTCTGCACTACTCGAAATGCCACGTTTGACGAGTCAATTTTCCCATCACTTTCTAATGAGTCCTTGGATGAATCAAGCTTTTATTTTAATCCGTTCGAAGTCATACCGTCAGAAGATGACAACGATGATGTTCAATTCCATCCTTTCCCTAGTCAAGAACGTCCACTCGAAGACTCCTTGTCTCCATCTAATGAAATAATCGGGGACATTTCGCCTGAAAATATCTTATCTTATTCTCGGAGGGGTGTACCTGCTGAATCATTCAACTCGACACTTTCTGAAGATGATACTCTAACCTATAATCAAGTGATGGCTCTTTCCGATAGAGAAGATTGGCACGCTGCTCTTGTAAAGGAAAGAAATAACATGGGTGACTATGAAGTCTGGGATGTCATCGAACGATCTTCTGTCGATAAACCGATTAACTGTACCTGGGTTTTCAAGATAAAACCTGAATCCTCCAATCAACCTCAAGAATACAAAGCACGCCTTTGTGTTCAAGGTTTCAAGGAAGTTTACGGTAAAGATTACAACATGACTTTTGCTCCGACAGGGAAACTGGTTTCACTTCGTCTTCTTATTACGTTCGCCTTACAACGTAAATACGAATTTCATCAAATCGACGTTAAATGTGCCTTCCTGAATGCACCAATTCGAGAACGGATAACACTTAATCCTCCTCCAGGAATTGATGTGCCTTCTAACAAGGTTCTATTGTTAAAAAAGGCACTTTACGGGTTGAAGCAGGCTCCGAAGGAATGGCATCTGACTCTCTCTTCTTGGCTTCTTTCTGTCGGCTTCAATCGTAGTTACGCAGAGCCTTGCGTTTTCTGGTCAGCCAATACTTGGCTATACGTTCATGTTGACGATATTGCGATTTTTAGTCCGGAACCAAAAGTCTTTAAAGATTTAATCTCAAAACGTTTTAAGATCAAAGACCTTGGTAGCGCAAAACATTTGCTTGGAATGAAGGTCACTCAACTGGACTCCAGTGTTCATCTTACTCAAACACATTATATTGAAAGCACACTTAAAAAATTCAACTGTCAAGATCTGATTCCTCTCGCCACTCCAATGAGGCCTAATGGACAACTCGTCAAAGCTTCCAAAACAGAGATTGATGAATTAGACAAACTACAAGTCAATTATCGTAGTCTGGTTGGCGCACTTAACTACTTGAGCGTGACAACTCGACCAGATATTACCTTTACTGTAGGATGTTTGTCTCAATTTCTGAAGAACCCAGGTATCTTACACTGGAACGCAGCGGTTCATGTCCTACGTTATCTTAAAGGAACAAAGGATTTCGGTATAACTTTGCGTTCTACACCCGTCGATCAAGTCAACTTTGTCTCTTTCGTCGATGCTAGCTGGGCCAGTTGTCATATCACCGGTAAATCAACCACCGGGTATTTAATCTTATGGAATGATAATTTAATTTCTTGGCGGTCAAAGAAACAATCGACAACTTCTCTTTCTTCTACGGAGGCTGAATATATCGCAATTACAGAAGTGACCAAAGAATTACTCTGGCTAAAAATGGTGATCGATTCTTCACTTAAACTTCCGATGTCTCTTCCTCTTGAGATCTTTGAAGACAATCAAGGAGCGATCTTGCTTGCCAACAATGAATCAAATCACTCAGCGTTTAAGACAAAACATATGAATCTTCGTTTCCATTTCATTCGAGCAGAAATAATTGCGAAAAATATTGTTTTAACCTTCAAACGAACTCATTTAATGTTAGCGGATTTTCTGACGAAATCAATTGGCCAAAGTTCAATCTTCAAAGTCCTCAAGGTCCTTCGTGCGGGTATGCCCCCACCTTAACGGCTTGGTGCATGGGGGTGTGTTGAAATCTGGCTCCAATGGCGCGCATACATTTTGTGATGTCATTAGAGTGTGATCTTACACAGCTTTTTGTTTTTCATCAATCTTTGCTGTTTTCTCTATTTTTTGTCTGTTGACCATTTCTTCTGTTGACTACTGATCATCCTGTTTGATTCTTCTGTTGACCATCAATTATCCGGTCTTATTTCTACTAGTTTACCATTAAAAACATCAAACAACTTCGATCCACTTTATTCTTATCTCTTATTTCTTCTCTTATTCCTTTTTATCTTACTTGTGTCCTCTTTTCCTCGGCTCCTTTCACCTTCGTCGAGGACTTATCCATTTGGGTCTAGGCTTATAGGTTCATATCTTTTTCTTTTCTTTACTCTCTTAACCGTGTATAAGTTCTAACAGTCGATTCATTTCATCAAAGTCTTCTAACCTAGTCATCGGCAGTGTGGTTTCTTCTCTTCTCTTATCTTTCATCCACAACGTGTTTCCTGCTTTATCTAGGTAATACTTTGTTTTATTATTTTTACCTCTTTTATTATTCTAACTGAAATATTATGCTTTATCTAGCCAAAACTTCTCAATGAGTAGATGAGTAGATGAGTGGATGAACTGAGGAGACAACAAATGGGGGGAAGAGAGCCTCCTTTTATAGACAAATGTGAGGGAATTTAGCTCCAGGGCAGACAAGAAAGAGTGATTCTAGCTGGCCTGGAGGTACAAATGAGTGAATATAGCTAGTCTGATCATGCAAGTGAGGGAAATTAACCAGTGAGGCTGTGTACAATTAATGTCAAAGGCTGTGTTGGGATGGTGAATCCCGTATGTAGTACTTGATGCTTGTACATAGTTATGCTTATATCAAGCTTTCCATTACTACTGAACACCGGACTCCCTCGTAGCACTTTCTCCCTCACTGAATCAACATACTAGTTTCTCATTGTCAAGTCCCACAAGTGAGTCTCGACTTCAGTCGCAGTTTCGGTCCCTGTGCCCCTCAACAGGTTATGAGACCCCTCTAGTCTCGCTCTTACATCCACTCAATTTTTTATCTGTCATCAATCAACTAGTCGCCGACTCGTCGATCACGTCAAGTCATATTCCTCTCAACTAGTCATCAATCGAATCGTTCCATCTGGCATCTCCGACTACTCAAAGAATGTCCGGTTACCGTCAAATACAGAATGTATCCTCCTTGATCTCCACTGTCGAATCGTTGGATGGAACTGCATCGGTCTTTCCTCGATGGCGTTCTCGTCTTGAAGACGTCCTTGGAATGCAAAACACACTGGACATCGTCAAAGGAACCCTACCTCGTCCAAAAGAGGACTCAAAGGACGTTAACACCTCCTCTTCTCGCCCCGTCGATTCAAAAGGTTACAACCCAAAAGAGATCAAAGAAGACTGGGATGCCCTTTCAGAAATGGCCTGCTCGACTATCCGGCTCACCTTGACTGATCCGCTGGCGCAACGATACCGCAAAGTCAAGCCCGCCTCTCGTCTATTCAGTACCATTGTGAACGCCTACGAGAAGAATACAAGGGCTCGTCGCATCCGACTACAGGAGTCGTTCTGGACAGCGCGCCATGACCCTAACAAACCGATTGCTCTCTGGATTGGTTGTCTTCGAGTGGCGGCTGATGAACTCCTCTCGATCGGAGAACTTCCAACCGATCGACAAATCGCCGACCGTCTATTCGGAGGATTAGACTCCTCCTGGTCTGCTGTGCGGGATTCGATCATGTACACTGCCATTGAGATGTCGTTGGACGACACAATTTGAGCGCTTGAAGCTCACGAAGTCAGCTTAAATGGAAACACCCAGCATGATCTCGTCTCCGCTGCCTCAGCCAAGCACCTTGCTTGCTCCAACTGCGGAAAACGGGGTCACCGTTCGTCTGATTGCCGAAAGAAGAATCACGTGAAAACCAAAGCCGGCGCCGCAACCACTGTCAAGTTAGGAGGATACGACTCCGGCTCCTTTGATGATGATGATGAAATTGGTGTTATCTACGAGTAACTGAGCTCCGTCTGTCGTTTTTTTTATTTTCTTAGTACACTACAAATTTATTTTAGCCTACTGTATGGTAATTCTACTAAGTCTAGTACAATTTCCAAATTTTCTATTATTTATTTCCATCATGGTGCTGAAGAAATAGCTTGTTATCAGCAAGGGGGGATGTTGGGATGGTGAATCCCGTATGTAGTACTTGATGCTTGTACATAGTTATGCTTATATCAAGCTTTCCATTACTACTGAACACCGGACTCCCTCGTAGCACTTTCTCCCTCACTGAATCAACATACTAGTTTCTCATTGTCAAGTCCCACAAGTGAGTCTCGACTTCAGTCGCAGTTTCGGTCCCTGTGCCCCTCAACAGGCTGTGCTGCAGTGCATAAATAATGTGAGAAAGTGTCAAATGAGGCAATAAACTGTGGGAAAAATCCAGCTGTTGTCATAAGTGAGGTGAGAAAATTAATAAACTGTGGGAAAAGTAATTCAATCAAGACAGCACAGCCTGCAAAGGCAGTGCATGAGGTGACAAATCAAACCAAACTAATTTATGCGGTGGGGATAAAGAGGTGTGGGAAATTATGTGTATACCGTGAGCTGTGTATAAGCATAACTGAGAGGTGATTTGAGGGTTGTGACATGTGCTTGACTGGGTATTGGCTTGCGATATGCGTCCGTAGGGGTGTAACTTCCAATCCGTGAGTGTTCCAATGATGCATCCAGTGGTGACCTGGGCTGAAATTGTCCGTAGAGTCCATTTCTGAAGCCGTATTGGTTGATTTCTGAGTGATTATATGAGAAAAATGTGTATAAAGAACAAACTTTGAATTTTTTACATATTTAATTACCACAACATCAAACACTACATGATTTACTGTCCTAAATTCAACTCACAAAGGAAATTCTTCAGACAATCACTTACATCACACAAAACCAAAATCAACATTAATTGCATCAAAAGTCTTCTTGATTCACCAAAATGCTTCAAACTTCTCTCTAACTTTATCCTCAACACTCATAGATTCAAAAATCTCAAACAATATCTCGAAAAAGAAGAAAATTAATAAAAAAAAATTCACCTTTTCTTTTCCAATTATCATTTTCTTTGGTTAAAAGTCATCATTTTCTTTGGTTAAAAGTCATCACTTTCTTTGGTTAAAAGTCATCACTTTCTTTGGTTAAAAGTCATCACTTTCTTTGGTCAAAAGTCATCATTTTCTTTGGTTAAAAGTCATCACTTTCTTAGATCTACAGTTATCATTTTCTTTGGGTTAAAAATTAATAATAATAAAAAATCGGTAGGGCTATTAGGCTGGATACAAGAGTTAGTCGAATGGATTTGGCTTTTTCCCGCTCAATCATCTAGGGCTTGAGGTTTGGGTCACCCCAAGATACTCTGCCTAGTCAACAGAGTATGGAAAGCCGGATTTGTTTGGCCTTCCCTATTTTCAGACCCGATAAAAAGAGTCGGATTTCCTTTTTCTCATTTTCTCTTCTCAATTTCTTTTGCTTTTCTCTTAAATCATCATTTCGCCAGTCAAAACTACTTAGCATTCAATTCAGAAGAACAAAAAACTGTTATAATTACAAAATTCTTAATAGTTTTCTCTTACACAATGTTCAAAAACGTCATTGCATGTATTCTTACAAAATGTATTTCTCTTAGTGCGCAATGTGAAATCAATTAGCACTTGAGAAAAAAAAAAAAAAAGACCACCAACACCATGCTAGTGCGCAAGCTGTCTGATCATCTCTAAGGCATGACCCCGACACACGGGGTTCAGGGTTTTTCTCAAGTCCGAACCCCGGGGTTCAGGACTCAGGATGGGGCTAAGCAGAACCCCAGAACCCCGGGGTTTTGATATATTATGGGGATGTTCTAGCCAACAGCTCCTCCCAACGACCGTTGTCAATGGTTGTTGAGTCAATTTCACACCCGCCTCTACAAACGGGGTCTGGACTCTGGACTCTGGGATCCACTATACTACTGACCGGCCGAGGAGGAGGTTTATTCCACCTGGCTGGTCGGACAGCGTATTCTTCCCGGCTGGCCGGTAAAGCAAACTGGCAACAGGGTATTCCTCCCTGGCTGGTTGGTCGAGCATCTACCAACCAGCCAAGGGGCGCACTTCTTGGCTGGTTGATGATGCAGACTTGCCTACCGGCAAAGATGGATTCTTCCCCAGCTGGCTGGCAATGATTATACCAATTTGTAGTTGGGCAGGAATGCTCTTTGACCGGTAGGTGAGTCTGTACCAACCAGCTGAGGAGCGTACAGATTTTTCCACTCAGCCAAAAGGAGTTCTTCCTTGGCTGGTCAAAACTTGACACTGCCTCAAAAGCAAAAACAAAGATCAAAACCCCGGGGTTTCGGGGGTTTGAACCCTGGAACCCCGTGCTTCGTTCCTCGGGATCATGTATAGCCTCAAACCCCGTCCCGAACCCCGGGGCCATGCCTTGAATTCGAATCGCCCAAGCCCAAGAAAGCCAAAGCCGAAGAACAAAAAGAAGAAGGAACCCTAAAAGGAACCTCATCCGTCTTGATGAGCTTAATATAACCTTATTGATCTCGGTGCCCGACCATATCCAGCTTTCGAGACCCCAAAAGTAGCGTGTTCAGCAGACGAACAGAGGGGCCGCGGCCGCCATGTATTAGATCTCGTGGGCTTCCTTAATGATGATTGGATAGAGCTGTCGATTGGGTCGGGGTGTGTCGGTCCTGCCGACTGCTGCTCGTCTCAGCTCGACTATTTGTACCGATCCCATCAATCCCAAAGCTGAAGACAGACCCCGGCGGTCCCCTTCAACGTTCGTGGATAAATAGTCCTTGGACAGTTAATTTAAAACATCATGCACACGATTCTGCGCTCATCATGATTATCGTTCATGGGTGTGTACAATTGCTTGTTCGCCACAGCTACAACCTACATATTAAATGTCTACGTATGATTGAGATGATTTGTATCCATCGCCATCCTTGGCATCCGCTGTAACTATCTATATACACATCGGTTTCGTTGCCATATAATGGGGGATGATGTGCGACTGGAATTTATAATGCGCGACGACCGGTGGTCGTTTTTTTTTTTATCAGCGACCGAGCGAATTGTAGATTGTGAAGCCGTTGCAGCTTTTTTCACATCGGTGCAGCGGATGGACTTGCTTAATTCAACTTGAAAAGGTCGTGCATGATTTCATGTCCTCCAAATGTATGCGTCCTCATAAGCAGCTTCTTCTTACTTATCATCGTCTTGATAATTGTAAGCAACTGGGATCAATCGCTTCTCTTTTCACGACATCTTTTCCGAAAACGATCAGCACAGGACCATGCGATTTCACGCATCCTTTTTTTTTTTCTTCAAACACGGGCTTTTTTTTAATTTGGGTTGTACTATCCAATTATGTAACACACCCATAAATACATATAAGGATGCCAAGAGAAACTGAGAAGATGGGATTCGATGGACCGCCGCTTTGATAATACATATGTATTTACGTATTCAGATAATTAAGGCGCGTCGAGAATGACCATGGACGGCCAGAGATAAAAGCGCGAAAGAGAAAGAAACACTTACACAACCGGGAGCTGAGAATGCCGAAGGGGTACATATAAGCATGTCCGTCCGTGTGTTCGCTGTGAGGATGTATGCACTGATCACGGCCTGGTATTTCGGAGCTGCTGGGGCACGACGGGACGATTATTCGAGATGCTGGTGGATGAACAGACACGACGACGGGTCGGTCCCCTCCCTCAAGAATTCCTGATCAAGCCAGGTATGTAGAGTACTTTCTGCGGGCGAGCGGCTCGGAGTGAAGAGAGAGAGAGAGAGAGATGGATGGGCTGGAGTAGATCCAGTTTAAATGATACAATGGGGCTGGGTTGATAAGAGAATGGCTTATCATATTTATGGTCGGATGGATCGGTCGGTCTTCATCGAGAAGAGCACATGGAGCCGATGGGATTTCGGCACTCTTGAGTGCCCCCCCCCCGTCTCCACCCACCCCAATTATCTGTGTAATAGCAAGACAATCAAATTCCCAACAGCCATGGATTCTCAGCGGAGCTTGGTTATCGCTTCAACTGGCTTGGTCAACCAAATAACCACACCCCCCCCCCCCCCCAAAAAAAAACGAAGAAGAAGATGCTGTGGATGTTATGTTACATTGAAAGACTGTTGGCCTTGGAAATCTTTGGAGTTCTTGGCAGCAGCCAGACTAGTATCATATAGCTTATCGTCATATTAATTATTAACGGGGCTGTAAAAAAAACAAAACGAATCAAATCAGACCAGCTACGCTCTGTCCCAATCTGAGCACACTGGCTTCAGCTTTAATTCGCCACTCCCCTTCACCACCACTGGCACCACTTTGTGCGCTCTCCTCACACTCGGCAATCTTGATACTGCACTGCTCCTTCACTTGAGGATCGTCCCAAGAGCTCTTTTCTCTCGACTCAGACCCAAGAAAAGCCCGAGATCGACACCTCTTATCATCACCCGCAACCCCCCCATAGCCACCGAGAAAGCCAATACACTCCCAATTAGTAGTCCTATCTACTCTCTAGTCGAACGAACCCTCGAGCTCAATCTCAGTGGCCTTAATCACCCTGACCTCTATTTACAACTAAAAAAAAAAACTCAACTCAACTCAAGGCTCCCCCGTTTGGCCGCGCAAACTTACAGCAGCAGCAGCATCCAAACCCAACCCCAAGGAGGACGCTTCATCTGCAGTACATTAGCATCTGTCCAAGCTCGGCGATCCTAGTACCCACTCCCTACTGCACAAGGTTGAGCGGACCGCTCACTCCCACAACGAAGACACTGTTTTTTTGAATTCTTTCCAACCTCTCACTCCCCTCACGGCCGGCCTGTTTGGAACCTCTCTTATCTGGTAAGACTTTGGTTCTCCTATGCTCTCAGCCCTTCCCACCCTTTGTTATTGCCGTGCCCCGGGCTTGGATGCCCCCTTTCCATCGCTGCCCGGTATGACTCTATGACTTGGCTGTCCATCTTGGCGTCGGCTTGCTTTTCCAAAGGAAGAGTGGTAGAGAGAAAGTGGTAGGGTATAGACAGCCCCCCCTAATTAGCCTATCGTGCCCTAGACCCTACTCAGACCAGTAGTCTGCGCCGAGCGGGGGTTTTTTATCTTTCCGCTCCTTACACAACCCCCACCAGCTCAGAGATCCAGGCCAAGAGCCACCAGATTTTCTCCCTCACCCAGCCCATTCCAGTCATCGTCTTCTCTCTCTTGATTGCCCGGCGGAATTGCTAGAGTGTTTTTTTATTTTACATAATACATTGAAGAAAAGGCCCTCCCACTGTAGGGAAACTCGTTGCCAATCTTACCGTTCAAACTTTTTCGGCCTCAGCCTGGCCTTGGATCGTGAACTGGAGTCCTGTATCTGCCTACGACCCCCTTCCTCTTGGCATTTCCCTTCTCGTCCTTTCCTCTCATCGTGTATCTATGCTCATCACATCCATCCCCTCTTTCCCTCCACGTCTCGAACCCCTTTCGAGCACTGCTCTGCTTGTTGTTCGTTTCTAACAACACCAATACCCCCACTTTTTGAAACCCCCAAGCAAGCTTGGCTTCCCGCTTTCAACTGACTTGTTTGGATCACTCTTCTCTCCCCGCTCCCTCCAATGCCCCAAACTAGCCCTCCGACTCCTGCTCTCCTACCCACACAGTCTTTATCTTTTTAAATAAACAAGAACTATCCACTTCTCATCAACTAGATCCTTCTGTCACCTGAGAACTTGGAACCTGTCTCGTTGTCCTCACGGAACTCATCCAGCTTCCAAATCAACCCATCATGGGCTCAGAACCCATCAACTATCGTCTGGTGTTCTCAAAGGTAAGACGCGCTCCTCCTACCACCCCATCATAGACTACTCGAATCCAGCAATCTGGCCAATATTCTTTCTTTGTTTTTTTCCCCTTGGACTACATCAAACTGATCTTGAATTCTTCATTTGTTCTTTGTTTATTTTGTTGGAGAACCTCAGTTCCGTGAGAACTATGGACCAGTGATTTTCACCCACTATGTCCTGGCGCCACTGGGCATCATTGTCCTCCTCATATTCTCCTACCTGACCGACCTGCTCATCGACCTTCTTCCCTTCACCTTCCCCTCTCAGGTATCCATCACTCTCCTTATTCTTTTTTTTTTTTTGACAATATCTAACTGATTGGGTCCAATTTTCCAGGCAATTGCCATGATATTCCTGTTCATCCTTTTGATCGTACTCCATCGATTCTCTCCTCATTTCTTATTCCATCACGTCCACTCCTTCCTCCATCCTGCCGCCGAGTTTCTACTCGCATGCATGGGTCTATTCTTCACATCCTCCTTCATCTTGTGAGTGTTCTCCCTCTTTCCAGGCCAGTTTTATCCATATGGGAGACTGAACAAGGATCAATTTTTCTTTAGGATTCCCCGGCGAGACGTCATGCCAGGGAAAGAGATTGGGTTGATTGCCGCGCTGTTTCTGCCGAGTTTAATCATCACATGGGTGGGCACGGTGATGATAGTGAAAGCGATGGCCTATGTGTGGCCGCAAGCGAAGGTGGATGAGCCGGAGGAAGACAACAACGCGGATGTGCTTGAGTCGGACAGTGAGTCGGGCGAATCGAGCAAGCGCAACCGATCACGTAACAACAGTCAGGCCTCCATCGGCTCCCAAGTTTCCCATCACCACCACCGTCATCATCATCATCATCATTCCGATGACTCCGTCCTTGCTTCCGTCGAGGCCGGCCAATCGGTAGCCCATCCCGCCCCTCCTCTCACTTCCTCCCCCCGCTCCCCAAACAGTCTCATCGAACTCCACTCCCCCGGCGATCCTCCTCCCCCCACCGAAAAAAATCCTCAATTGACATTGGATAACAATCTGACCCTGTGTGCGACGGAAGTGGTGGAGGAGGAGAAGGAGAAACCGTCCGACCCTGAAAAGGTGGGAACATTAGCATTGGGTCTCTCATTACAAAAAAAAACAGAAGAAACTGACGCGTTTTTATGAGCAGAAAGGATGGCATGACAGTCTAGGAAGATGTACGCGAAGTCTAGCGAAGATGAAGAAGAAACTGAAGGTAGAGAGGCCGAATGAGGACTCGACGATGACGGGGGAAGAGCGACTAGCGCGCCGGCTGGAGGTCTGGTTCGACCCTGCGGTGTACTTGCTAGTCCTGCTGATCGGGATCCCGCTGTTCTTTACGCCTGGAGGCGAGCGGCGGACGATGCCCCTGTTCACCGGGGTGGTCGCGCTGGCCTGGCTGTTCAGCAGACGCTTCGTCTCCGCCCCGTTCCAGAAAGTCTTCCACCCCATCCTCGTCACTAGCTTCATCACCGTCTTCGTCGTCTGGGGATTCGGCGCCATCAAGGGCCTCACACTCACCCAAGGTATTTCCTATCCCTTCCCTTCTTCACACCACTGTTGACCCCCCCCCCCCAAAAAAAAAAAAATCGAGCCTGAACCTGTGCTTTCTTTCCTCGCTTGTTGACAGCTCTCAATCACTATTCCACGGGGGCTCAGTACTTGATCCTTTTCCGGAGAAGCGAGGGCTGGGATGGAAGTTCGCCGAGTGCAGGAGACCTATTATCGAGTCTCCTAGTAGGAGGGATTGTAAGTGAATAGGTCCCCGAAGGGAGACCAACCGGAGCAAGACTGATGATTTTCTTTTTTTTTGTGGGGAACAGGTTGCACTAGCCTTCCCAATGTTCCGATACCGGGCCGATCTGTACAACAACTTCTTCCGTCTGTTTGTGGTGGTGATGCCGAACTGTGCGGTCTCCTTACTGTTCTGGCCTTGGGTGGCCTCGAAGATGGGGATGGCCGGGGACCGGGCAATCACCTTTGCGGCCCGGTTCATGTCGACGCCGTTTGGGATCCAATTCATTGTCGCCACGGGGGGCGACAACTCTTTAGTCGTCGTCCTCATCTGTATCACCGGGATCTTTGTGGGTCTTGTGTGATCTCTCTTTTTACTTCCGGACTCCCCGAAAAAAAAAAAAAAAAAACTGACGATTTTTTTTTTTTGGATTCCTTCATATATATAGGCCGTCATCGTTAGGGACCCGCTCTTCAAGCTCTGTCGGACTCGCACCACCCCCGGCTCCGATGAGTACTTCACCATCGGCTGCACGATCGGCATCATCGCCGCGGCCATCGGCACCTCTTCCCTCATGTCTTCCCACTCCCGTGCCGCCGCTACCTCGACCGTCACCTTCGTCGTCTACGGGCTCGCTCTCCTCGCCCTCGTCGCCGTCCCCGCTATCGCTAACTTCGTCGGAACTCTTGCTGGCCTTTGAACCTTTTCCTTCCTTCCCCCCCCCCCCCCTCCTGTTTTTCCTTTTTTTCCTGGTTTTCCTTTTTTTTTCCTTTTTTTTACTTTTTACTTTATTCTTTATTTTTTTTTTATTTTTTTACTGCATATAAAAACCAAAAAAATAGGACCTAAGAAACAAGAGAACCCTTCAAAAGAAAAGAAAAAAAGAGTATGTATCATAACCACCATCATCGGCCTCAACCACCCCCTTCTCCCTGGAAACAATCCTCCACCCCCCCCCCCCCACACATATATATAGATTATCGTTATACAGTTATACACACACACATATATATAATTTTTTTGATGATGAGCCGTGTTTTTTTATCCCTTTCCCAAAAAAAAAAATGTCTGTTCTTTTCACACACACACCACACCCCCAAAAAACAATAGACGATTGACCTCGATTTTGTTCGCTTTTTGGATGTTCCATGGACGGATAGTTGATGATATTCAAGACGAGGTCTGTCAGCACGGGACAACAAACCCCCCACTCCCCTGTATAAATACACACACACATTTGAGAAAGTCCTTATACAAATATGTGTCTCTGTTCCAGCTTCTTTTTGTTGTGTGTGTGCATTGGAAGTGGTCTGTGGATTGGGTGGGGAATCTACAGGCATGTGCTGTTTTTGTTTGTTTGTGCATTATATGTGGTGTCTTGAGGATCAATGATGAGGGTGGACTGCAAGGATCTGCAAATGAGTGTTTTGATGAAAAAAGCGCGAGTCTGGACTGGGCTTCATCTGCATCCAAAAATCAATGATCTCCTATTATACAGCTACAGCTAACACAGGAAAGCTTGCGGGCTCTGATGTCAGAAATAAAAAATAAAAAATAGAAAACTACTGACAACAGCTGGAAGGTTTAGAAGAATACAGGGACATGTACGTATGGATCACCTCCAATCAAATCGGCTATCTTTTTTGTCACTCACTTTCAGGTGATGAGAGTAACACCATCAGAATCCTGATGAAAATTTCAGGGCAATCACCCTCCATCCCGAGGCCTGCTGTGGCAGAGCTTCCCCCACAGGGGCCGGGTTGGGTCCAATCGGTGCCACTGGCCTGGCTGTACGTCGAATAATCAG